TATAATATAATATAATATAATATAATATAATATAATATAATATAATACAGTGTATTAAACAGCAGCCTGAACATGAGTCTGTTGTGAGCAGATGGGTATGAATACAGCAGCTTAAAGGCAAGAGATCAGCAGCATGGATAATCAGCAGCACAGATAAAGTGACATATCACCAATTAAAGTAGCATTACAGTGATTTTTCTGGTTAGGGATTTATGAGTAACAGCTTCAAAACCAAAACCAGCACTAACTGTTGGAGTTCACTCTGTTAGCAAAATATCTTAGTAATCACAGAACAATTTTTAACAAAAGTCTCAGAAAGTCCATCCATTATATTCTGCTTGTTTCAATGTCGGGTCACGGGGGCAGCAGCTTGAGCAGGGAGGCACAGACATCTCTTTCCACAGTTACCTCTTCCAGTTCTTCTGGGGGGGACCCCAAGATGTTCCCAGGCCAACTGAGAGACATAGTCTCTCCAAAGTGTCCTGGGTCTTCCCTGGGGTCTCCTCCTACTTGGACATGCCCACTGAAGCACCTCCAGGGAGGCGTCCAGGGGGCATCCTTACCATATGCCCGGACCACCTCAGAAAGTGACCGTTGGAATTACATCTACAACTGATTAAATCTGAAGTCACTCAAATTCAAAATGGATGCCACAGCTAGTCAATAACAAACACAAAAATGGCTACAACTCTGTGTATTTTCCAAATGCTCCGAGCGAACAAACTCAAATGAAAGATTTGGCAGTTTTTTTAAAGCTGGATGTCCTTTCTGATACAACCTGGGCTCAAATCCACAGCCTCAGAATTATGAGACCATAGCCCTGAACACTGAGCTACCAGGCCCCCTCAGTGAATTTTACACATATTAAACTAAACTTTTAAGTGGCTTGATTTGATGTGCTGAGAGTCATTCACAGCACTTACTTTGAGGCACCTCAATGATGAATGAGATTGTGTATAACTTTATTTTCAAGGTTTGAGCAAAATGGCTGCAGTTCTGTAATTTCTTAACAAAAGTCTATCTTATTGTAAAACTCTAGTGGGCAAAGTTTTGTTATCTTTACAATTTGACAACTGTCAACTTTTCAATTTGTGTCATTTTTTCAAGTATACATCAAAATCAGACTATTCAGTCGACTGTATTTAATCTTTAGTTGTGCTAAATATCCTATATCCTTTGCAAAGATGAACCACTGATTGTATCGCTCACAGCTCAGCTCCTTGTTGATAAGCGTTGGCAAACCCAGTTTATGACCAGTACAGAGAGAACCCTGCCCTGACCTCTGTGGAGTGGTTGCAAGTCAAAGCAAAACACATAAGCTAATGTTCAGTCTTTTCTTATACAGACAAAATTGTTTGAAGGAAAATTACAATATGTTTTCTAAAGACTGAAAAAAAATACTTGGAAAGCACCAGCTAAAAGTAACTGTAACCGAAAGTAAAGGACTTTGTGATGTATTCATAGTAGACTTTGAAAATCTTAAATCTACCTTAGTTTGGTCATCATAACCTTTAAACACCTGATGTTCATGTGCATTTAGTAATTGTAAGAAAAACCACATACAATTTAGACCCAGCCCACCAATAAAAGAACAGGTGCTGCAGATCAAAAGCACATGGGTTATAAATATCAGCAGCACATACTTGAAAATGTTGGTAACAGGGCGTCCTGTAGGCTTAGCAGGAAGCATTTGCATTTAAAGTCTGTCAGTGATGAGCTCTGTACTCTAAAACTGTGCTGACTGATCATTTTCTTGGCAATATGTCTGAGCCTTAGAAGTCTCAGCTTTGACATATTGCCCTGGGTTTTTCCATTTTTGCAGACGCCCATAATCCTCACTCTTTTCTTCTCTTCTAGTCTTGTGCTCTTGCTGCCATGCCTCTGGTTTGTACCTCTTCTCTATCCACTTTAAATTTCTTTCATCCCTTCTTACTTCACTCATTCCATTCATCCTTACTCATTCCCTTTAATGATGTTAGTGTGTGTGGTGTGTGTGTCTCAATGTCACAGCAGGAAGTTTTAAATAACTAAATAACAGCATGTTAATTACTAAGAAATTTTTTAGCCTCTGATTGGACACAAAGAGACTGAAAGTCTATTTTTACAGATAGTTTTAAAACTGTAAAAAGTGTTTAAAGGCCAAGAAAATAAATCATTTGTTCTTTTAATATTGCTTATCCATTAATCCATCCATCAATCCACCCATAAACTTGCTCTGGAGTCACGTCTTAAGCTTCTAGTGTACTCCCACGTATGTCCGTATGCGGAGGTATGCGCGTACGTACACGCATACGTACGAGCCTACCCCCACAGGGCATGTCTGCGCAAAGCTCAATTTTTACGACTGGGTACGAGTATGCGGTGTCGCACAATAAACTGCCCGGTGACGGACTGTTTTGTATGTGACACCAATGTATTAAATTCCCCTTCTTCATCCCTGATCTGGCCTTTTCCTTTGTTTTTGCCAAAAGGCAAGTGATCTTTTCCTCCTCCATTGATGCCATGACTGAAATGGTGAGAAATGAAGGAATTTGTCACGAGCGAATTAAACTCAGGTGCAGCATGACTGCGGGAGGGTCTGGAGATTTCCTGTTGGGCTGATCTGATGTGTGGGCTGCAGAGCCAGCGCTCCTTGTTTTATTAACTTTTTAGATCTTATTATTAACACCATATAAACACAGAACCCGCTGCAGCTGAGGCTGCCAGCGCTCGTTTTTTTTTTCTCAACCTGTTAATCAATCCAGTAGGCGTGTCAGCAAATGACCAATAGGCGACTTCAATTTGTCCCGAAGGTAAACGCCCCTCGTCTGTGGAGCTGCTCTGCAGCTGCTCAGGGTGGACGCTCAAGTATGAAGTCTGAACCTTCTGCGTCCAGTACGCGCGTACATACGTCCACACGTACGTACGCTGGAGTATACTGGGGGCTTTAGGGGCAGCAGCTTGAGCAGGGTGTCCAGACATGTCTTTCCACATCCACATGTTCCAGCTCTTCTTGGAGGGTTCCAAGGTGTTCCCAGGCCAGCAGAGAGACATAGTTTCTCCAGCATGTCCTGTGTCTTCCTCCATTTGGACATGCCTGGAATAGCTCCCTAGGAAAGAGTCTGGGAGGCATCTTTACCAGATATCTGAATCACCTCCAATGGCTACTCACAATGTGTCTCAAGGTCTCTCCAGGATAATAGGACTTCTCATCTTAGCTTTAAAGGAGAATCCACATACCCTGAGGAACAATGCATTTTGAATGATCTAGTTCTTTCGATAACTACCCAGAGTTTGTGACCCTAAGTGAGGATAAGAATGTAGACTGACCGCCAAACAGTGAGCTTATTATTGCAGGTCAGGTCTCTCCTCACCATAACGGACTGACAAAGCTTGCCATACTGCAGAAGTCACATCAATTTGTCTGTTGATATCATGCTCCATTCTTCCCTCACCCATGAACAAAACACAGAGATACTTGAACTCCACCACTTAAGGCAGAACTCACAACTCGGAGAGGAAAGTCTATCCTTTTCTGACTGAGGAACTTGGCCTCAGATTTGGAGGGGCTGATCTTTTCACCACCCAAAAACATCACTGGTTGAGGTCAACAGCACCACAACAACACCCTTTCAACAACAGCCAGAGTTCTAGCCTGCTAGAACATTGA